CGACAATTATTAAAAGTGCAAAAAATCATAACGCAAGGAATAACACAAACGGATGAACCACGCATTTATACTCATCTATATGACCACCTCAGACTGAATCAGTAAACTGACGCATTTTTGCTTTGAAGAGGCACCGAGCATATTCCTTCCGAGAGACCGGGTTACAGTTACCAGTTGTATATACTCCACACGCTGGCATCACTAATATGCGACATTATTTCCTACCTAAAGCAACTGAGTAGCATATGCAATTAAAATAATATGACGTAAGTACAGCGCAATAATCAATAAGAAAAAACCATAAACAAAAAGCAAAATATGTTAATTATAGAGTGACATTAGCAGGTAAGGAACTTCTTAAATAATAATATGGTAATTAGATAATGAAATTTATAATAAAAAAATGCTCAAAACAAAACATTGCACACAACAGATATAAGTCCGATATTCAGTGAATGCCACCAAAAATCATAGCTTTCCACTCCTGCCGATAAACGATATATTAAAATACTAAATCTACATAGCGATAACGACAATATCGAAAGTATACTGAAAACTGTTTTTGTGATACAGTCTCTGAAGATGCATCCATTTTTTGTCAAAAACGCCGGACAATGCATAAATCGCATTATTCAATGTTTCAGACTTGCAAAAAACAGGGACTTGGTGGCACAACGCCAGAGATCGACCTCGAACTCCGGAGGTGCAGGGTTAGAATCCTGAGGAAGAAAGACAAATTAGGTCTTGACCGCTAAGACCATTGAGCAAAGAATTTAAATCAAGTTACTTCAGTGCAACCAACAGAGAAACAGGTAGCAAATTGTTGACTTGCGAATAAAAGGGACAACATAAAATTCCAGTTTCATCACACCGGAATGAGCGATATACACGGTCATGCTGTCTAATGTAAACCCATCTTGTGGCGATACTTCGCGTTGACCTGTGATCCACCTGAGAAAGGGCAGTTCAATGTGATAATCAACACAAAGTGTAAAGGTTAAAAAGGCGATTAATCAATCACAGGAGCTCGTGTGCTGAAATGAACAGAAACAAAATATAAAATTATCGGCTAACATTTCAGCAATCACAGTGACATAACAACATGCATACAATGCACAATAAGTAACTAAATACACGGTAACGAGTTATCCTACTACCACTGCTGCTCGACCACATTAAATCAACTGTAGAACAAGTGCTTTAATGTCACAGAGCCATGGCCTGTGCAAGGGCTTCCAACGCTTCTAGAAGCAACTGCACGGTAAACAAACGCCAAAATTCATACATTTACGAGAATTGCATTTCGTTTTTTATTGAACCTCGTTCAGTACATTTAAAACTATCAGAAACATAAACCGTTCTCTACAGTACTAGACAAAAAATTTTATCACTTAAGTTATACAATCCATCATTACGAAATAAAATACTGTCAAAAAAACGCTTTCTATTTTCGGAATGTCATTTTTCGATACATGACAAGATTACAAACCTCATCATTTTTGGTCAATGGAAATGGATTATGGTGTAACAAAAGATACTCCACTATTTTATTCCAACGATTCGGCTTCTGGAGATGAAGCATTGATCATGGAAATTTTTATAGCACTATATAAAATAATTTTTAAACGGAACATTGACTGCTTCCTAAGTGTATTAGAATCACAGAGACAGTACTCTTTTAAACTGAACCTGCGCATGAAAACTAAAAAAAACTTACAGTCATAAAAATGCGGTTTCCGAACCCCACAGCTCTACGCCAACGTATATCTCAAAAGCTAAAGGATACAATTTTTAGAATGTTTGGACTTCTAGAT